AATAATATCCAAACCATTTTGTCTAATTTGGCCTGTAACTTCTCGAATCTGAATTTTTCTACTCGAAAAAACCCTAAAATTCGAAATTGGATCCAAAATTGGGGGTTTTGCAAATCTTCATCAAATCTTGCAATTGAGGGGTCCTTGGAGGTCGCCCGGATGCCACGACCGCATTGGAGTTGGTTCCCGCCGTCAATTTCGCCGGATTTAGCCGGAAAACGCTCCGACCCTCCGGCGGGTCGGAGCGTTTTCCGGCCAACTAAAGTTCAGGTACCATTTGTGAAATTTACCCTCGCCTTAATACATGTGTGTTCTATGTTCTTCATGTTTCATTAAAATAAGATTAATTATTTTGCATCATATATTATTTGATCACAGAGAGTATTTTATAAAGTTTAAAAGTTTGAAGATTATTTACCTATTTTTAAAAGATGAAAGTAACTATTTATGCATATTACTCCCCCCGTCCTCCTGTATTTGTCCACTTTCATTTTTACACACCATCCAATGCACTTCTTTAATCCATTTTATCTTGTAATTTATATATTAAAAAATTATAAAAATTATATATTAATAATTTATATGTTAAGACAAATCAAACAAGATCACACATGACTATATTTAGAGTTACATATTGAGAAAATTTGATGAGTCAAAGTGCTAAGATGAACAGTTCTAAAAGTCAAATGTGGATAAATACAAGGGGACGGAGGGAGTATTCAATATGAAATAAAAGGACAGGCGGCAGTCTACATTTTCTAACGCCGGTTGAAATATAAATGGAGGTATTATTATAGTACGGAGTAGAATTTATTTGTAAACCAAATTATTCTTTTACATACTAACGAGAGTAACAACTTGTTTGGAGTTGACAATGACTTTTTCTTAAATTACACATCCCATTTCTTTATTAATGTCGTTGACATTTTTCTTTCAATCTTTTTCTTTCTTCATATTCTTTTTCCTCTCCTGGATCTATTGTTATTAATTACACGTTTCATGTTTCAACTTTCAATCTTAATAAATTGAAGTTATACTCGGAAAAAATTCGATCTACTATGAACAGTCATAAGTCATATATGCATAATCAGATAGTTAACACCGTAATAATTAAGTCAGCTATATATTCTCATGACAATATACTCACTTCCTCCCAAAAAATTCTTTACATTTCTTTTTTTTTTGCTCCGGTGTCCAACAAATTCTTTCACAATTCTATTAAAAAATTATTTTTACCTCTAGTAATGTTAACCTACTTATCATATCATATTTTTTTACTAATAATCTACATATTACATCTTAATTTTACTCATCACATCAAAGATATTTTCAGAAAGTCAAAACAAAAATATCTTTGCCTTAAATGTCCTCAAAGTTTAAATAGAAACATCTTTATGGGAAGGGGAAGTATATTTGTAAACTTTTCCAATTCGAAGGAAATATAATGAAAATGGATTACTAATACTTTTTACTCATTAATCCAAATGTCATTACGAAGTAAAAGTGTAAAACTATACAAGTTGTATTCAAAAGGGGGCACACACTAGTAGTAGTAATTAAATACCAATTACTACTAAACTAACTACAGATTAGTTAAAGAAAACCCATACTCCAGTCCCTTGACTATATATTATCTCTATTTAATTTGCTAACCAGACGCACAAATTAATTAATTAAAGCCACATAATTAATTAACTTGGCTCAAAAACTGGACCAAAAATATAATGGAAGCTCTATGTATTAATTTAAATAATACTACATCAATCTTCTCTTCTCTTCTCTTCTCGATCATATTCTTTGTCAGCCGGGCGCCGTCGTTGATAATTAGCTAATTAATTAATTAATTGATAATTAATTAATTACCAGTAGTTAATTAACATAATAGTATTGAGGTTAAAGTTAATTAGTACTGTAATTAATTATGGCCGTCGGGTGTTGTGGATGGGCGGACTGCGGCGGGGTTGTGTATAGTCCATAGAAAAAACCTCCTCCTCCTTACCCATAGCTCCGGCGGCGGTGTCGTGAAACACCACTCTGGCCGCCGCTGCCGCCGGTGGCGACGGAGATATTTGTAATGCCGAACGTCCTTCTTTTGTTCCCTGCATGCCGCACCGCCAAAAAATAAATCTAATTAACACTCCAAATAAAACTAAATTGATCACATTATTTTATCTTCAGTTTTAATTCACATTTTTTTTAAAATTTATTTTTCATTCGTTTCAAAATAAAATTCTCATCTTTTAATTTCTCTATGAAATATATCCACAAATTTGTTTTTGAATTCTTCGGACACGTTAGTCTAACCGTGAAGGTACTTAATTAATTTGGAGATGAAGAAAGTATTTTATTTTATCAAAATAATACTCCATTTGTCCCAAAAAAATTGTCATAATCTGATTTTTTGGTTAAACTGTGGCATGCTTTAATCACAAATTGAATATGGTTTAAAATAATTAAATATTATAAAAATTTGATATTTCAAAAAAAAATTGATAATTCGAGTGGTCAAAGGTACCAGAGTTTTACCAAAAAATTAAAGTCAAATTGTAACAATTTTTTCAGAAACGGAGGAAGTATGTAAACTTTTCGTTCTAATTACAACATTCGTTGTCTCATAACAATATCATTTTGAGTTGAGCAAGATTTTTAAAAGTTGTAAAAAAGTGTGAAAAAATATTATATATTCAGAAAAAGAAGAGAGAGATTGGTTACCTTGATTTGAAGTTTGTGAAGCAAAAATTCACCAATAGAAAATATAATGGATCTCTCATTTTCACCTGAAATGCATTCACAATATTGTTTTAAAAAAGATCATAATAAAAAAAATGTTTATTTTTTTTGAACTTGAGTGGAGTGGGCCTGAATATTGTGTCCCCCCTTAGGTACATCAATGTGCAGTTGCATGTCTTTCTTCCCTTATTTTAATTTTTTTAATTATAAAATAGTCAAATTTAAACATCTTTATATACAAATAATTAAAGTTCATTGGCATTTAGCAAACACTCCATGTGTAGCTTCCTACACTAAATTCATACTTTCCATATTTGAAGTCTCCAAATTAAAGTCATAATTCTTACAAATACATTTTTTAAAAAACTAACTTATAATAATTCTTTCTTCTAAATAAGTCATGATAATCTCTATATAATTACTTTGTTTCTTCTTATTTAACTTTTCACAGTATCTAATGCAACACTTTGAGTATCAACATCTCTATTTATAGATATATAACTTGCTCCATCTCAAATTAAGTTGTCTATTTATTATATTCATGGAATTTAATTTTATTCATTTTCTTTATTTTCGTTGGTCATTTGATAAAATTAAATGGTCAGAATATCTCTTGTTTGATGAAACTTTTTATGTAGTTTTAATATGTTAATTTTATTTTTCTAATTTCATCCCAATTCTGAAAAAAATTGTATTGGAAATAATTCCAGTCAAATATCGTAAACCAACCGTCGCAATTTTAATTTGGACAGAGGAAGTATCAGAATACAATATTTCAAAATAATATTTCAAAATAAATTTAATGATAGTAAATTATTACTCCGCACTTCCTCCGTTCCTTAAAGTCCGATCCTTCCCATATTGACTTTTAGGAAAATCAATAGTGACATTTTTGTGTTGACTTTTTAAAAATATCCTTGATGTGATGACTAAAAATAAGATGTGATAAATAGATTATTAGTAAAAATTTAAAAATATTCACCATGAAAGTCAAACTGGGAAGAAGCAAAGAGAGGGGAGGGAGTTACATTTTCTAAAATTTTATGAAGTAAAAAAGGGAATTAACTTAGAGATTGAAGGGTATCGTAACTACGTGAAACATAATCGAAAGTTATTACTCCCCCCGTCCCGAAAAACATGGGAGTTTTGATTTTGAATGGGAATTTAAGGGGAGTGTATTTTGGTATTGAATTTCCAAAAATGTCCTTTGATGTGATGGGTAAAAGTATGATTTGATGGATAGATTATTAGTAAAAAGGTATGATGTGATAGGTAGGGTATGAAAAAGTAAGGGGTAAAAGTGGTTTTTTAATAGAAATGAGAAGTATTTTTTGGAACGGATGAAAAAAGAAAGAAGAAAAGTTTTCTGGGACGGAGGGAGTAGTAGAGAGGTAGCTAGGCGTGCATGCATTCAAAACGTACTATATTCTTGTAGTTAGTGTATGTACCCACAAAACGTACCTCGAATGTGTTCTTGATCATCCACCTTCTTGAGAGTCTCATAAGTGGAAGCCTTTTCTTTGTTATTATTATTATTATTATTATTATTATTATTCACACTATATCTCTTTGTTAATACCATTTTCTCATCCTGCACAAAACCATTTACTCCCTAATTAATTATTACTCTCATAGACAGTATTAAAAGTAAAAAAAATCATAGCAAAGTACTCCGTATAATATTTCTTAAGTAAATAAATTACATAAACATATGCATACCTTGGGAGAGACTAATAACGTGGGATTATTTTGCTTAGAATGGTGAACCATTCCAAGTGGTCGGGCTGTGCATGCATGCAGATATAAACTACATAGGAACACATATACTACCAAAGAAGACATAATAAATATGTTAATGTATATGTGTATATTCTTCTTCTTCTTCTTCACAAATATGTATTGGCCGGACGTAAATATATGGCTCGATGAAGATGTATATATATGTATATATATATATATCTAAGGAACTGGATTTAGACCAATAATATTAATAATGAAATACAACAATATATATATGATGGATATATGATGGATGATATTGATAGATAGATAGATAGATTTATAGAGAGATGGGTATAAGTAGGGGTTGGATGAAAAGAAAAGTTAAGGAAAGGGACGGGAAGCATATGTGCATGCATTAATTGCAACGTATTATTATTATTACTCCCTCCGTCCAGAAATATTCTTCCCATTTTCCTTTTTGGTCCGTCCAGAAATAATCTTCCCATTTCCTTTTTTAGTATGCTTTTTAAGGCTAAATATCAATAATACCCTTCTATTTTATCACAAATCTACTTTTTTAATACTTTTTTAGTAATAAAAGAAGATTTAAAAGTTTATAATTTGTGCATTTTTGAAAATTTTGCATTTTTTTTACTATTCCTTAATAAGCGTGCCAAGTCAACACGGGAAGAAAATTTTCGGACGGAGGAGTATTAATCAAATAATCCCACTTGCCCTATTTCTTCCAAAGTTAGGGTTTTTTTCTAATATCATAACGACACAACCGAATAATACCCCATTCCTCTCATAATCTGCATGTATTTGATTTTCACAAAAATTACCATTTGCTTAAATTAAATTGTTTTTTAATAAAAGATCGAATTCAATCAATTTATTACTTTAATAAGATCAAGTTTTATTAACCTTTTTTTCTTTCCCAAATTTATCGAAGTGGGTACATTCTATTTCCAAGGTTTTAAAGGGCTAGATTTTATTTTTGGGCACATTCTATTTTTTTGCTACAATCTTTTAGTTTCATACTTCTTTTGTTGCAAAAAGATTTTTCAAATCATTTTTAACCATTTTTTTTCATTAATCAAAATATTCTGTATATAGACTTGTTACTTTATATTTTGTAGAATTGTTTTTATGTAATACTCCATATTTAAATATAAAATTTTTACATTTAATTTAATTTCAAAATTTTACTCCTTCTGTCTTAAAAAAACTTCCTTTTTCATTTTTACGTATCCCTAAATACACTTCTATACATATTTATAATGTTTAAGATTCATCATATTTCTCCTTTATTATGGATAACAGTTGTTTTGGGAGTATTTTAAATGGTATAGAAGCATTTTATGAGATACGCGAAAAATAAAATGAGAAGTATTTTTAGAGACGAAGAGAGTATATAAATTGAATTGACAATAACATAATCATAAACATTAGCATAAATAATGAGAATTGAATTGAAACAATAAGATAATAATTGGTTTTATTAAATAATGAGGATTACATCAGTATACATAGAGAGTACAGAAAGAATCCTAATCAAATCAGAATAAGAAGTTATTGTAACAACAGAATAAGAAAAGTAAATAATAATAATAATAATTATATTCTATTTCCAATTATTTCTATCATTTCTAATATCCCCGCAAGGTGATCCTCGAGGCCCGAGAAGCAACTTGGAGCACATGTACTGCAATGGAGCCGACATAAGCTTTTTTGTAAGTATATATATATAGACGCTACTAATAGAGAATAGATATTCATTGCATGACGAATGAGCTCAAAAATATGATAAAGATAGAATAAAATTAAAAAAGAAAATAAAAATAATAATACCAAGTAATATTACTATTTCTTATTAATCATAAAAAAAAATCTAGTGTGTATAAGAGTATATATTGACAAAAAAAGATGAAAGGGAAGACCATGATGGTAGGATACAAAATGGTGCCGGACCATACCAATTCAAATAAATTCAAAAGAAAGATCTTCACGGCCACATCATGTCCCCTCCGTCTCCCTCTTCCTTCTCTTATCAAATCAACCCTAACGATCGGGTCGGTCCATGCATGTCATCTATGTCTCCTACAATATATGGAATTATGGTAGTATAATTAATTCTGCTTATTTATTGTAATAATTAACATCTATAATTATTTATGATTAACAAATGATAATCATTTTTATATAAATATGGATTCATTGATTTTTTTTGATTTATTTTTCAAATACACGGAAGTAGTAATCCGTTTATCTTTTAACGAGTACCGTAAAAAGGACTGCATTTGGAGTGTTGATGAATACTTGAAGGACTACTTATGGACTTTTAGAACTTGAAGGACTGCATGTGGAGGATTGTTGATACTTGAAGGATTATTTATAAAATTTCAAAACTTGAAAGACCAATTGTGCATAGCTCATAAAGTAAAAGGACCAATCGTGGATTTTAGTCTTAATAATAATGCCCTTGATGGTGAAGCTAGCTAGCACAGTTGTTGAATTTTATGCTCTTATTTGAACTTTTAAAACTTACAAAATATGATTACCAAACAGGAAATACAATAAAGGCTAAACTCCACCATTGGTCCTTCAACTTTATCAATTGTGCACGATTGGTCCTTCAAGTTTTAAAAGTCCATAAATAGTCCTTCAACTTTATGCATGAGTTATACACGATTGGTCTTTCAAGTTTTAAAAGTGCATAAATAGTCATTCAAGTACACGTCAGCCTTCCAGATGAGGTCCATTTGACAGTAAATGTTAAAAGCTAAATGGAATACTAGCTCCATATAATACGGAGTAGTCGTACCTAATGGAATTTACTCGTATTATATGAAACTAGTATTTCGTTTAACTTTTAATATTTACGGTCAAAAGGACTTCATTTGGAGGGCTAACGTGTACCTGAAGGACTACATATGGAATTTTAAAACTTGAAGGACCAATAATGGTACAGAACTCATAAAGTTGAAGGACTATTTATGGACTCTTGAGACTTAAAGGACCAATCGTACACAACTGATAAAGTTGAAGGACCAATGGTGGATTTTAGCCTACAATAAATGAACTATATATATATATGAGGAGTACGTAAAATAATTAATAATGGGGTGTATAGTACGAGTAATAGTTTTCAGATTTGTGTAATTAAGTGCTTGCGGAATATTGCTGGCTCCCAAAACTCATTCATTTGACAAATAAAGGAACAATTTTCCCTATTTGTGTCTGACCTTTATAATTAAAGAGTTAGAATTATTAAGACATGCATGCCTTTTGTTGAACTTGTTCCCTCCTGCTTTTAATTACATGTCTCTCAATATATTTGCATCTATATACATAAATGCTTTTCTGCGTCCCTTCATACATTGACTTTTAATTTCAATCCATTTTATCATGACTTTTGAGTACAACATGCTGTTTGACTTATAGTATATATGTAGTACGTTTAAAGAAGAAGAAGAAGAAGAAAAATAACAAACGTACTAAAATAGTGTTGGAAATTAAATCTCGTATGTGGGTGACAACGTTGCGCGCAACAATAGTTTTCATATCGGTTATTTAAAACAATTGATACAATAGATCAAGTGCATCGCTTATTTTAAATAACCAATGCAAAACGGTCGCGTCCAATTTTACGCGCAGTCTGTGCCGCACATTTTCAACCTACAAACTCATGGGATAGGCGGGGTGCTGAAAAACTACACTAAATATGTGTGCTTTGTTAATTTACTCAATTAATAATAATAATAATAATAATAATAATAATAATAATAATTCCAACACTATAATAAGGATGACTGAGAGCAATGTGGGACCACAAATGCTGCGCAGGTGAAGCAGGCGAAGGAACAAGGATGCATGGGCGGGCATAAACCGGCCGGCCTCCGTTATATTCATGAACCCCATGCCGCATGTTAATTACATACTCCCTCCATCTCATATAATCACTCACCCTTTAATTTTGTGGAGTTTATTAAGAAAATAATTAAAATATAAAAATTATTTAGTTGGAATTTGTTAGGAAGAGAGAAAAAATTATTGGTAGCCACATGCTCGATCATTATTAGCAAAATAGAAAAAATTATTGGTAGCGTGTTGGAGTTCCCACATCAAAAAATAAAGAAGAATGCTACTATCATATATAGAAAGGTGAAATCATACGTATGAGCTTAAGCTTTTGAATAAGAATAGTGGATCCCGATTTTATATGCAAGCGGCTAGTTTTACCCGATACTCAGCCATTTATTTACTTCATGACAAATAATTCCATATGATATATCTGTCGTATATGTCTTTATTAGCAAGAAAAGTGTGTGAGTATAATGGTATTCGGTAAATCGTATACTCCTTCCGTCTCATAATGCGCTTTACATTTTCTTCTTCTAGATTTTTCAAAGAAATAATTTACACTTAATTTTTTTCTATTTTAGTAATGAATGTGTCACACACTTTTCTTAAACATTTTAGTACAAATTTATTTACAAAAGCTATAAATTCTTCTTTTAAGGGAAAAAATAAAAATGTAAGTTTTATTTTGTGACAAATAAAAAATATGAATTTAATTGGAGAATGGAGAGAGTAGACCAATTAATGTCTCTTCTTAAAATAGAAAATGAAAAAAAAATAGGGACAACCAAATAAAAATATATCTTCGTTTATATGTGGGCTTGAATTGAGTTTCCGATTTGTGGACTTGCTTTTTGGGCCTTTTAAAACAAGTACAGAGTATATTTTAAACTTCTCATTTAAATCATTTTACCCGAAATCATGTGTATTCTTACTAGTCCATCCTCAAGCTTAAGGCCCTATGCTAAAAGCCTAAAACATATGTTAAAACACTGATAATAATAATAATATGCTAAAAAATTAATAATAGTGATAATAATAATAATAATAATAATATGTAATTTTTTTCATATTGATATATTTATTATCGATATACTCCCTCCGTCCCGGAGTACTCGTCCACTTTTAACTTTTAGAACTGTTCATCTAAGCACTTTGACTCATCAAATTCTCTCAATGCGTAAGCCTAAATATAGTCATGTGTGATCTTGTTTGATTTATCTTAACATATAGATTATTAATATA